GTGCGATTGATTCTGCTCACATGAAAAAATACAGGAAAAATGGATATAATATACTTACCTCATAATGGATTTTTGTTGACTCATAATATATACTAGACCATGACGGCGCGTGTTACTGCGCCCGTCCTTTATGTAAATATAGGCATCTTGATGCATCAAAGTTACGATGAACTTTTTTTATTTACAGTATAGAATGCATGTACTTGTTCTGGGGAGAATAATATAGATGAAATTTTCTTTATTTACAATAAAAGAATATTGATATCTTAGGAGGATAATATAGATAGACTTTTCTTAGGAGGACAATATGACAAATACAATTGTAAAGATTAGCTACTGAACCCCGAGGACGTAATTCTGTTCTAATATGATAGAACTTTTAGTTGCATCACCACAATATTAATTGTAATCTTAGAAGAGAAGGATAGCGAGCTCGTTCTACAAATAGTATGTGGGATATGAAATTACTGAAGTTAGCATTTGGTTCTAGGCAACTAAGGTCTTGATGATGGCACGAAGTTGGAATTAGTAGAAAACGGAGCTTTAAAACCGGTTCGTAAGGGTCTTTAGTGCCGGTTCTGTAACCGGCACTAAAGTGTGGGCACTAAAGCGCTCCCCCCTTAGTACCGGTTTGGCACGAACCGTCACTAAAGGCCTATCAAAGAATTTTTTTTATTTTTTTTTGAAAATTTTGGAATTTTTTTTATTTTCAATTTTTTGAATTGAATTATTTGATGATTTAGTTTCTAATCATCCCTCTTAACTGCTCAAGTGTGGATCACTCATTTCAAATCGTCTAACTTCCCGGTCGGTCACCCATCCTCTCACTCTCCAGCCTGAGCACGCTTAACTTCGGAGTTCTATTCCCCCTACTTTCCAAGTCTGCACTTGTTGTTTTACTGACAAATGTAAGCTGTCAATCCTATTAACCCTCGGCAGTTTAGCTTGAGCATTAGGTCACTCGTTTCACCATTTGAGTTTGAAACTATTATTCTAAAAAATAGTAATTATTTAGTAACACTAATATTTTTTGAATAAGTTTGACCATAGTTTGACCATAGTTTGACCATAGTTTGACCAGATTTGACCAAAATTCAAAAAATTGAAATAATTATTTAGTAACACTAATATTCTTAAATAATTATGTAGTAACATTAACACTTCTTGAATAAGTAGTTTGACTATAGTTTGACCAAAATTAAAAAAACTGAAATTTGAGCATATCTTTTTTTCCTTTTTGAATTAGAGAATTCTAAAAATTGCAAACATGCCATAGGCTGTCAAAATCGGATGCGGATTTTTGTGCTGAATTATTTGATATATTATACGTTTTTTTCTGACATCGTATGCAAAAGTTATAGCCGTTTTACATTTTCCCTACACTTTTTGCAAAACATGTCCAAATTTAAGTTTTCAAATTTTCATAACTAGTAGGTGTAGTAATATAACTACCTCTCGAAGGATTTTATTTTATGAAGTTTTTATCATTTTCTTTTGATTTTTTTCAAAACTGAAATGTCGATACACAGGGGGGGTAGAGTTTGAAAATTGCCCTATAGTCCCGGTTGTGTCTTCAACCGGGACTATAGGTTAGACCCCTTTAGTCCCGGTTCATGGCACGAACCAGTACTAAAGGTGATCATGGGGCCCCGGCTTGACGCTAGCTTGCCACCATCCCTTTAGCACCGGTTCGTGACACGAACCGGTACTAAAGGTTTAACACGAACCGCTATTAATGCATAGCCGTTCGAACCGACACTAATGGTGTAATTAGTATCGGGCCAAAATCGAACCGGGACTAATGTGTCTCACATTAGGTCCTTTTTCTACTAGTGCCGATGCAGACGCTGCTGCCGACGAGGACGCTTAGGACAGCGCGTCGTCTAGTTTTTAGTGTTTTTATGTTAATTAATGTAATGTGGACTTTCGCCGGCCTTCTGGCAGGCTTTTATGTTTAATTAAATGCATGAATTTATTTTTAAAATGCTTGCAAGACTTTTTTTTGGCACGCCAACAAAATGTGTCGGACCAGCGTTGGGCGCTCGCGCCGATCCAAACACAACGCCAGATGTTTATATTCGCTGGGCCGAACCAAACGGACAAAAAGCGGACAAAAGCGCCGTCCGTTTAGGTCGGCCCGTTGGAGTTGCTCTAAGCTCCCATAGGAAAGTGAGATAACATAGAAAGGTGCTAGCTAGCCGTGAATTACGAATCCATCAGTTATTAAGAAGACTAGTTGAAGGCCTGTGCATTGCCATGCCATGACAAACTTATATACAAGCGGCACCAACCACGTCTCCTTTTTTGCATCTACTAGTTAGCATGCACGTGCAACGCACGTATTTCTGAAGAAAATACATGTTCATCTATAGTGATAAAACAATTCTAGTGATGCAGCAGAAATAAATTTCCTGAATCTGAAACCTCACACATTATTTGCCATACAATAAGCTTGCGAGAGACCTACTGCATAAGGGGGAAATACTACTACAACACAAGATCGCAATAAGCTGCATTAGTATTAGTGATCTATTCTTATAGAAAAAGAGGGTAAGATAACTAAAAATCTATCATATATGCGGGCAATAAGCTGCATCAGCAATCGTCTTTTTTGACCTGCAGCAAAACAAGCACCAAGATGAGCAGTAACAAAAACAAATTGCCAAATGCACCAAATCTTGATGTAGTGGAAAATGAAAATCTTTGAGAGTACATATACTTTCGCTTTGTACCTTGTAGGCAGGAAAATTTTCTATAGGTTTACTCATGCTTTAGCATAAACCTCGATGTGCGGGTGAGTAGCAGTTCCTTTTTTCTTGAAGAATAGTAATCGTGCATGTGTAGAAAGAACTTGAGCCGCCATCTTGCATGATGGTGCGTTTCTTTATTATACCGTGAGAAAAGTGCATGAAATTTGACACTGAAGATTATCAACAAAAAATGCAGTTATAACTCATATGTATTGTCTTCATCATCAATATATTTGTAAAAATAATAGATTGAACTTGGGATTTCCACACATTTTGGTGTCAAATGTATATTTACTACTTAACATGAACTATACAAATATTGGGTATATGACATACTGTACTCAGGCATGTAAATATGAGAACTTTGTCATGCATCATTCATACGAAGCTATATGTACGCATAGAACAGAACAGTTACTTTGGTGTCATGGTTAGCTCATCTCTACAAGTAATGGGTTGGTCCCAACTTCAATTCACAGCTTAGACATTAATGTTGGAATGTTAGCGAAAGAGAATGTTCATGGTAGAACAATTAGCATCAAAGCCATGATTCAGAATGGCCAATAATTAAGTGCAGTCCTCTGATTTTGGGCCGACAGTGTTCATATATTTCTAGTGCATCAAAAGAACTCATATAACTTTCTAGATTTAGTGTTTTACCAGTTGATTGACCACAAAATTGATACATGATAAGTAACATCGAAAACATGAGATAAAATGGCCAATAATTTAGTGCAGCCCTTTGATTTTGGGCCAACAGTTTTCATATATTTCTAGTGCATCAAGAAAACTCATATCACTTTCTAGTTTTACCATATTA